ATTTTAAAATTTTAATACCCTAAAACATTTCCCGGTCAAAGGGGACTGGTACAAAAAAATTTAAACCCCAAAAAATTCAAAGTCGAAAAAACCCTTTTAAATTTTTTTAAAAAACCCTTTGACAGGTTACCTTCTCTTCCCGAAAGATGGGGGTAATGAGGTAAAATAGCTTTAAAATTTTTAAAAGCAAATATTTAAAAGGGGTTTAAAGGGCAATTTAAGGGTTTTTCCCCCATATTAAAATTATTTTCTAAGCCCAAAAAAGGGGCATAATTTGTAAAAAAACCTTAAAGATTTAAATGTCCTTTTTGTTTGATGGCCCGGCATGGTAAACCAAGAAATGGTCATTTTAAAAAGCAATACCCCCAAATGGTTTTAAAAAAAAGGGTGGGGTTTGGTACAAAAAAACCTTAAACCAACCCTCAATACCATTTTTAATTTAAAAAAAGGGGCCAAAATTTCCTTCCCTTGCCTTATGTACTCTTGCCCTTAGATGGAGGTTATGAGGTAAACAAGTATGGAAAAAAGTTTAAAAGGGCCCCCTTTGATATTTCCCTGAAATAAGTGGGGGGTACGAAAAACTTATAACCAATGGTGTTGAAGCCAACTGCCGACTCCGGGCGTAGGATTGTCCCCTTTTCTTAGAAAAGGGCGAGCTAAAATCAAATAATTTATTTTTTATTTTGCCAATCTTAATAACATACCGGGGAACAAAGCTGTCATAGTAAATGGTAACAATATGTTATGTGAACCATTACTCTACTGTTTCAATCAAATATTTCAATTATCAGCATCAAATAACTTTTCTGTAAAACAATCATTCTTTTGACAAAAATGCCACAGGCAAACAATTTTTGCTATAGCTATTTGTTTTACTAAAGATCCTGTTATGTTTACTTTTATTATCACAATATTTTATACAGTAACATTACCATTTCATTTATTACATTACTAACTTCCCTCCTACAGAATTTCTTATTCATAATTACATATATAATTATACAGACATGCCAAGATCAAAATACACATATGCAACACACCAAAATATTTCCCGCAACATTTCTTATATATACATATCTATTACTATAAACTTCTGACTTTGAAAAAATTCTTTAAAAAAATATAACACATACAAACACAATGATGAAAATGGAAAATAAAAACACAAAATACAACATAAATACAATGCAAGACTGTAAATTTTAAAATGTTTAAGTCAACTCATACTATAATAAAACATATATTGATAACATGCAAAGGAATTTCTTCAAAAAAATTTGAACTTGAAAGATAATTGGATGAGAAAAAACAATTTAAAGGTCAATAATAAGTAATTGTTTTTGGCTTAAATTCTTGCCCTTTTAACCCATTACTTCATGAGCATTTTGTGAAAAATGGCTGTTTCATTGAAAAGTCTCCCGTTACAAGTTCAAAATTGCTAAATAATACCTATAAAAAAGCTGCTTCAACACTAATCAAACTTGGCACAATTGTTGACTGGACCATTGCCCTTGCAACAACATGCTCAGGCTTAAATTTTCTGTTACCATGGCAACGAGGGGACATCTCAAAATTGCCAAAATCACTATTTGCGTTCGATTTTTCTTTCATCATAATTGATTTACAAAGTGCTGCAACTTCTCAATGGATTGAGATAGAGTCAAATGCTTTTCAGCCGTTGGTTACACGTTACCTTATGATCAATCTGAGGTCATTTATAGCCTCTCACAAGTCCAAAATTTTCTTGGCGATGAGGGGGACTCTGCCCCCCTTCAAACCCCCCAAACAGAAGGGGGCACATCCCCTTCTGCCAACCCCCTGATGTATTTTTTGGTTGGGGGGGCCCGCGCCGAAAAAGTGGTCACTTTTTTTAACAACATTTCAACGAAATACCAAGTGTTGGGGGCCTAAATAAGGCATTTTTTACACCATTTGAACAACAAAAAGGGGGGGGGGGTGAAACAAAGGACGTTAAAAGGCGTGTATATGAAGTCAATGGTTAAAGCGGAGAGCACAGGCAAATATTCATTTCTTAGTTATTGAATTTTTCATTCATTATTTCTGTAAATGTCCTCAATAACATGATACACTAAACAGTTCAAACTGAACAACTCTTCTCATTAAAGCATACTTAAACTGTCGGTTTCCTAACCTTGACCCTCGTGGGTCGGTTAGGGAGCGCTATAGATTTCATAATAGCGTCACTGCATCACTCTCACTGAACAACAGTCGCTTTTCCAGAACAATGAATCAATACTCAACAATAAAATAAAGATAAATGTATTAACTCACATATAAAAATATATAAACAAACCATAAAAAAAATAATATAATATAGTACGAGAAGGATTAATACTTAAAATCACATAGCTTGTTTTTAAATTATTCGCTCTTCTGTTGGGTCTTATTTCTCTATCTCAACTTATATAGATATTTTAGCTTTAAACGCCCATAATATATCAGAATTTTATACAGAAATTCCTTTGCTTGTGACTTTAAGAATGTCATTTTGTGTGATTTCAGCTACACAGATCCATTTTTTATATTTCTTGTCATGTATATTTTGCGAGATATCCCTTTTCCATTTGTCATACAAATAGGTAAAAAAATATATCAGTTTAAACTTTTATCAGAAATCAAATATTTTGCAGTGCAGTCAAATCAGTTTGTGTGAGTGAACTAGGTATATCAGCTAGTAGACTATTGCTAAAGTTGTATTTTGTTGTGAGTCTTTTTAATAGTTCGCCTATCCCACACTTACAGTTTCATATGCAACTCTCAAATTGTCTGGTGCGAGGCATAACCTCAGTCAGTGGCATATTGCTGTGTGTGTGCAAACGGCTCTTGATAAGCTACAAAGACCTTTAACAAACTCTGCCAATATAACCCAGGAGGCAGCAAGTAAAAAATCTTTTTATCTTTCACATACTGTTGATGTGTACTTATTAGTTGATTATGTATAATGTTTATCAAACATTTTGTATTTCAGTCCAGTCAGTGAAATGGAGTCTACAAAACCTCCTGTTATACTGTTAGAGACACCTGAATTGTTATGTCAAAACAATAGGCTAATTAAACATACATAAAAATCTATATGCTTTTAAGAAACCTCACACAGAGAAGGGCCTATTTTTTTACAACTCACTAAGATCTATTATTCCTAAATCTTCTATCAATTAGAAATATTAAAGACCTGTTACTTCTCTATAAGCTATAAGCATATTATGCATCTCAAAAGCAGTTACTATAATTAAATGCATCAAATGTTCTTGTTCAAACAAAATCAAGTAAAATGAAAAACTTTAAATTAACATTTTTCAAATAATGATCTTATAATGCATCAGTATCTTCCAGCAACAACTGAAAAAAATCAGTATTTGAAACTTTTACATCTAGTACAGAAATGCAAATCAAATTGCATAAAGAGTAACAGAACCCACTGATACATCTATAATACAATGTACATTAACATGCTCTGAAGTTACATGCTTGCACTTCATAAAACATGGAACCAATTGCATGTTTCTCATATCTAATCATTAAACTTCTTGGGTTGTTGCAATGGCAAGCCTGCTATCAAAATACCTAACCATCATATACTCTCGTGTAAATTTCTTATCAATTGTTTCCTACATCAGAAATACACATGTATACGTATTACGATCTACACTTGTTTGTATAATATGCACTTTATTGATATTTAATCAAACAATCGCTTCTTGATCCGTATTTTTTCAATTTTGTCGTCGGAAAACTACCAATCACATCTATACTTTTAGCATATCCTCCAATCCAGATATTATTTTTTATTTGGTTTCTTCTTATGTCATATATACATCTAACAAATCTTCAATACAAATATGATAATTTTCACGCCAGAATTTAAAAATTTGGGATCTTTTGTTGTTTTTTTGACTATGACTACAGACTTAAATAAAATCTGCTACTTCCTATGTCTCAGTCAGGATTCTGCTGCGTTACTTCTTTCATGCAGATCAATAGTTGCACGGTCATGATCGGGGTCAATATACGATCCATAAACTGATCCTGAAAATAGTAGAATTCTTAATCAAATATTAGTTTCATATCAGAAATTATCTCTAGTTGATTCGATTGTGCCATAATAATCTTAAATTTCTAAACACATGCTAGAATTCTGTTCTGAACCAGTTCCTCACTATACTGAAGACATGATTGTTAAATTTTCTTTGCACAGTTAAACAATGACTGCCGGACGGATGTTTTGATCCATTGTCGCCATGGCAATGACAATGTTTTCGCGCATTAGCTTCATCTCTATTATGTATTTGAATAAGATGAGTTCGTAATTTTCACTTTATATACTCGTAGTTCATTTCTCTATGTACTACAATTTTGAGATGACCAGAATGCTCTATTTGTCAGAGCTAATTACAGAATCAGTCATCTGGTGTCTTGAAATAAATGCATGATATCCAAAAGTATTAAACTATATACAACTTATTATTCCAGATAAAAAAATAACTTAATTATCATGTAGATTTCTATAATTTGTACTTTGATTCAGGTTAAAGGCAGGTAACAAAAGATGCCAAATTATCGAGTCTTCAAAGATTTTGTATCAACTAATTATTTTTTTACGTCACACCATCACCGTACAGGTCATATAGCGACTTTCTACCTTTACTGGTGGACTAACACCTCAGTTAGGTGTCCCTTCATATATTATTTCAGGCATGAGCAGGCACCTGTGTAGAACCACTGATGTTCCCTGAACTAACTGGATAGCTACCTTGTAACATCACGTTTAATAATCCACAGTATTTGAATCATCACAATTTACATAAGAAAAAAAAAACATTTGTGAGATATTAAGACACTTTTCTTATTGTTTTTGTAACTAGTTTTCTATCATATTTTATTACATAGTTTGATTTTAACTAATTTTTACCATCAAAACCTTGAATGGCAACTTTGCAACACCTCAGTAGAACTACCAACCCTTGGAAAACAAACTAGAAACATCCTATCCAAATTGATCTTAATACAATCAAACAATGTGTACAGCAATAACAATAGTACTTAATTTTGAACTATTTCTTTTCAGTCTGAAGCAAATTTTAAGCCCTAACTCATAGATTGGAAAACTAATGTGAGACCAAATACATATAAATAATATACATGTACTTACATAATTTTCTGGACAATTTTGTCTTGCAAACCATTCCATATTGTACACACAGAATAAGACTCCCATTCCCATAAATAAAGCCAGCCATAAAAAGACATTCCAACTCCGTCCTGTGCCTTTCACAAAGATGAAACCAACTGAAACAAAATTTTAATACAAGTTTCAAATTTGCATTTTATTGTATTTTCATGAATTGTTTAAGACGGAACACATGCAAATGTAAAATGAGCCGTGTCATGACAAAACCAACATAATGCGCTTTCAACCAGCATGGATCCAGACCAGCCTGTGCATTCGCGCAGTCTGATCAGGATCCATGCTGTTCCCTGTCAGTTTCTCTACTTGTAATAGGGTTGGTAAGCGACCAGCATGGATCCTGATCAGACTGCGCGGATGCACAGGCTGGTCTGGATCCATGCTGGTCGCAAACCCACTATGTTGGTTTTGTCATGACGCAACTCAATAGGTTAAAATCCCATTTAAATTAGCAGCATAATATTTTGTTCCAGAATTTACAATATAACTTACAATATTTATTTATGTTAAACAATAGTGACATTTTATATTACAAATCATTTCAGAACTTACCACAAGATTGTGGTAACAACATAATTCTATTGTTTATAAATTTAATGACATTTCACTATATGAAGCTTTATAAGTCTCCTCATATAATTCAACAAAACACAATTATAGTTTTCTTTTTATATAATAAACTTACAACCAGCTCCCATGAACATAAAAAACAAGACAGGATAAAAGAAGCCAAGAGCCATCACTATGACATACTCATGTACCACAGCAGATATCAGAAATACCAATGCCATTGACAAACTCCTATATCTTGGTCCTAGAACCTGCAAAAATTTCAATACTATCATTAAACAACATCATACTAATAATATAATAATACAATACATTATTCTAATAAATATTTTTTTTTTGTAATTTTTCTTTCTAAATTTTTTTAACCCTGATCCTGCAAGATTTGTGCAACTCTTGTGTGTCCTACATATTTTTTTGAACTGTCTGTTGTTACATGGACAATATCTATATGAAAACATTATCATTTAGCTATAACAAGAATAGAACCTGGCCATGCAGAATGGAATTGTCATTTTAGCTCAATTGGTAGAGCTTTGGACTATGAAGCAGGCAACCTGGTTTTGATTCTCAGATGGTGAGAGCCCACCTCTAAATTTGTTCATTTGTTGTGAAGGCAAATAATGGTTGCGGCTAACATTCACAGATATAGTTTAGTCAACAAAGGGAGGATATAGTCATTTAAACACTTTGAAAATAATCCTGATTAATTACTAAGTTTAAGTCTATAAACTTACTCTGCAAAAATCTTTATAAACATATGTATAAAGCCAGTCATGTACAACAATGTTCCATGTTCTGTAATAGCTGGCAAATGATGTTGTGTTCCACCAATCCTAGTTATTAAATAAAGCACATGTGATAAAATAAATACATGTGATTAAATACAGTACAAATATATATATAAAGAAAATATTATCTCGGTTTTGGGGGTCTAAATATGGGTCTAAATTAATCATTATCAATTTCAAATTTATGCTCATTTCTTCAACAACTTAAGACTGGCCTAAAAATTATTTTCTAACATTGTTCAACTAATTATAAACTTGGGGGTATAGGCTGAGGGATTGTTCCAATCCTACATAAATATATTGATCCCCACTTGGAGGAATGTGGTTAATAGGTGTATCTGTTGCCATAGTGAATCAATCTTAACTCATGGCTACAGTAAGGTGCGCAGACCTCTAGGACATAGTTGCTTTGTTTTAGGCAAAGAAGTTATCACTGAGATTTGTGTGCTTTTCATGTTTTGGCGAGAATTTTTTTCTGCTTTTTGTTATCATAAACTGGTTCTAATTCTAATGAAGGTTCAGCGTAGACACAATACCAATAGGAAATATAATTCCATAAACTAAAGCCAGTGGGGATAGCTTTTTTTCAATCTTCCTAAGATTTTATTTAGTTATTATAAACTAAACACAATTACTTACCTTGTAAAACATTCTGTCAGCAAAAACGTAACATTCAGCAAAAGCATTTAACCAGGATGTAGTATTGCAAAAAAGCCTACAAAAGTACATAAAAATAATATTAAAGATTCAGTGTACAAATAACAGAGGTAAAACTTTCAGTCAATATACATTTATTTAATAACTATTGGTATACTGCTTTCTTACTTATATTTTGGAAATTTGAAGTGTTTCAGCCAAATTCCAAGAAATGGAACCATGTACAGGTTCCTTACTTCAACATAGATTATTACTAGGAACCATGTACTTCTTCTCAACTTCTTCTAAAACAGACAATTACTTAAATAAAAATAAAAATATTTTGCAAATACAAAATAGCATACTATCCGCATACAAAAATGTTCTAAAAATGAAAATACCATAAGAAAAGGTAAATAAGTATAAAATGGGAGAAATGAAGAGTAGAACAACTTAAAAACCAGCAATTACATTCCTCAAAAAAATTCTGAGTGTTAAATAAAAAACAGAAACACAAGTATAATTAAGCTATTTCACCTAGTATAAATTAATGTCAGTGGCATACAGCTGAACACAGAGGTGAAAATATTTTGCTGAACACATATCTCCTGTTGAAATCCGGAACCGGCACCACAAAATCTTTCAAATCATGTAGTAATGTCATAAGGCTAACACTTGAGCAAAATTTGACTTAACAACATATCCCCAACGTATCGTGCGTTCTGGATGAACCAATTATCAAGAATAAAAGATATGATTATACAAGAGGAATAAGTTATCACTATTTTTCTTTAATGATTGAACTGAAACTTTGACGCTTTTTTTAAGCTCCGGAAAAGTGGTGGTTGTTCGAAGTACTGTTCATTGACAATTTCCTCTGATGACAGATTAAGGAATACTGTGTGATATACAGGTTATGATTTGTAATCAGTGAACTGACCTTTAGCCCAACATTTATATTAAATCCGTTCAGCACTGTACATTCACACACTTAGTTTGAAGTCTGTTTGGAAAAGTAACTTTCATTCCAGGAAGAAATCCTAATAGCATAACAAAAGTCAGTGGTTAAACATAAGTGGGCACATGTGAGTGCTTTCAAGACATAAAACCTGAAAAATATCATTGGACTCTATAACCCACAATAAGCAATCAGTAAGCATTACTTAAGCAAAGAAAATAAATAAAATTACCTGGGATAATTGTCTCTGTATATAAGTGTAGGTGCAAACAAGAAGTACAAATATTTGGAGAAATCTGGACATAGGTCAGCTCTGTTCATGATCTTTACTATCTGAAATATATACATTTGTTAAATAATAATAATGCTAGAAAATTAGGAATTGATAAAGAAACCCTGAAACTTGCTTTGACATATGTTACAAATTTCATCTTCATGTGCACTTAACCCATCCTTTTTTCCATTTTTTTGTTTGTTTGTTTGTTACTTTCTATCAGTTTCTTTGACTGAATGTAATGATTACCAATTATGTATTACATTCTAGGTGAAATCATTTTATTTACATCAGGAGACTAAATTTAAATGCTACAAATTGTAATCATACAAAGAACAAGAACAATGACTTTGTTGTATTAAAATACATTAATAATAATTTAATGGTGTACTTTAACCATTTAAAAGTATTGAAACACTCGCAGAAATGTGAAGACTATCTGTTGTCTGTTTTAGGAGAAACTTTAATTTTGTTTAAGTTGAGAAGCAGTACATGGTTCCTTAGTTAATAATCTATGTTCATAATTGGAACCTGTATATGGTTCCATCTTCTTTAAATTTTTGTCTGAAACACTTCAAACATCCAAATATAAGTAATTACTACCTTAAACTGTACAAAGTATCAGTCTTAATGATAACGTATAGCCAAAAAACTAACTCAAACATTTTATAACTGAGCAAAAATGTGAGATACCTTTGCTGTTATATTCCAAAACCTTCGGAAAGTTTTCTCTGACAAATGCATGGGATTTCATCATGAACCTCAACTGAAAATATAACACATCATGAAATATTTAATGGATATAAAAAGAAACCTGTTTATTGAAGACAAAAGCCATTCTGAAAAAGGCCACAAGGCCTAGGTTTAAAACATCTGCCTCTTTATCCGTCAGCCAAACCCAAACTGGCCTCAAGATTACAAAGCATTTTCCTGACATCTGTCTCAAATCAGAGCATTTTCATTGAATCAGTGTACATTCTGTGACTGTTTCAGACCAGTCAAACAAGTGTTTCATTAATATTCTTTCAGTTTAGCATATCTTTTTACGTAAATTTGGACTTAAGCAAAATGTAAATCAACATTAGATGCATTTCACTTAACAGAACGTGCAATTTGGTTTATACAGAATTTATTTTAGTTTAATTGTGTAGGAAGCTATAAGCTTATAGACACACTTTCTAATCTGTTCCTGGAACCAACCAGTACTGAGCAATGAGTGTAAAGTTTCTTGCCCAAGGAAACAACGACGGGATTTGAACCCATGCGGCTAGGGATCAACTTGCAATTTACGCCAGCAATTAGTGAGCGTAACTTAAAAAGTTTCAACCTACGTAAATGCGAAGCTAAAAAGTTTAGTGAAACGCAAATAAATACAAAAGTTCTGCTTACGCAAAAAGTTACGTTCAAACTCAATAACTCTAGAACTATTTAGTCTGAAGTAACAGACTTGAAATAGTTCAATTAAGCTCCAAACTATCTTCATATTCAAGTAAAATAGATGCCTTTACTATAAATCACCTATGATAATTGAACATTTTAGTAGTAAACTGTTTATGATGAATGACCTGTTGCTGCAGCAAGTACAAGATTATGTATAACATTATATCATTATAAAATAAACAGACAAGCCACACAGTAATAATTAATTGCAATTTTTTTTTTTTTTATCATTACATCATTATAGTATTTATGTAACATTACATCACTTTCATAGGGGTATTCTTACATCTGTTTAAATTTGTTTACAGAGATGTGTTTACATGAAGAAAGCTGCTTGATTTCATTGTAGTTTGTCCAAAAATAGACCTGGACTGTTGACCATTTCATTTCTACTGCCATAGACTGTATAATAGTTAAAAGAAACATGATGTAGATGATAGTATAAAACATTTACCTGTTCACATGTAATGATGCAAGCTGACCCAGGTGGTATCTCATTTTCAAATATGTATACAACAGGTATGACCATAAAGAAACTCTGGTAAATGACATACAGGGCTAGCCCTACATAGTCAAACAAACCTACAAAAATATAAATGAAAATTTATATTTAATAACTACAAACTACCATTATATTCCTAAATTTGTACAGTTGACAACCCTTTGTATTTAAATTCAAAAACTTATCATAATGAGATTTCAGTAACTTAAAGCTAAATATATTGAGTAGACATTACTCCATGCCTAAAATTTTTAATAGACATGTCCATCTTTTTTCAATCTGTACAAAACCATTCATCAATTTTAGGGAAAAATTCAGCATGCACTGAATGAATAGCTAACAGGGCATGGGATAATCTGTGCCAGCTGATTTTGGTCTGCATTGGTATAATTAGTTGCCACCAGAAGGCTAAATAGACAATGGTTCTTTCTGACTTTAACTTGTGTAAGATAATTGACTCTCTGTGCATATTTTCAGGCATGTGATAGCACACTAGTTGAAGCAACTTCAATTAGCTAGTTCTATAGCTTGCTGATATTAAAGTAAATAATAATATAATAACAAATGCTTACCTGCTTTTCCTTCTGGTCTATAAACACTCCAGCCATAAAATCCAGGGTAGACAATTATCAATGTACTAAACTGCATACATAACCAAAGGGAGACCACTTTTGGAAATTTACCTAAACCCCATGTTAAAAGGTTGAATTCAAGTCCTAGTCTGTAAAAAAAATATTGAAAATGTGAAAGGTAGTTTTTTTAAAGTTTTTTTTTCCATATAGTTAGATTCAAACCCATAAGAAGGCTTCTTATATAATCTCAATACATGCTTCTATGGCTGCATCATACATATTAATCCTAGAATTTATTGAATAAATCGAACATGATTTAGCTACAATAGTAACAATACTATAGCAACCACACTTAAATGTGCAAACTTATTCCTGAGATAATTATTTATAAATATCAACTGTATCTGTTAATCATCATATAGGCAATAAACAGCAATCATATTCTTTCTATGCTAACTATGATACAAATAAATGATTGGAACATTAAATCCAAAGTCCAGAGATCTGACTTGTAAATCAGTGCACTGTATGAATCAACTAGGAACCCACTAAGACCAGATGTCTTCATTCAAGTCTTACAAATATCATTCTTTTTCCCTACTATGAAACCCCTACCTCATGATGTTCTTTTTTAATTAATAGACAATATATTTAAATAAGGGGAACAACTCTTTGGATAACTGTATCAGTCTATTAGATTCTTTATCCTTATACTGATAACTTTCTGTAATGACTGTCTTTCTTTGATTGAAGATCAGTAAATTAAAATATTTAAAGGGATTTCTGTATAATAATAATCAGTTTCAGTAGCCATCAGTGTAAAGCCTGATTAAACTGCACTAAGGTACAGGTCGACCTGGCTCTATACTGGTGACAGAAGCAAGTCAATGTTGCCATTTAGTTGCCAAACAGTACTTACGAGCCTTTCTCCACAATGTCCATGAGTATAGTGTTGATAGAGAAGATGATGAGAATGGCAACAAAAACATGGTATATACTTCGTATATGACTGATCTCAAACAAATCTCTGAAATTAGAAAAACATACGATGAACATATTTAGTACAAAAATATAGACATACTTTGACTTTTAGTTTATCAAAACCTTAGTAAATTGTAACTTCAGTAATGCCAGCTAAATGTCTAGCATTGCAAAATTGACATATTTTAGTGCCAAATTTGAACCAATTGTGTAGACACTGAGACGTACTACAGGAACAAGCTATATAGGAGGACATATGGAGGGTTTTGTTGGTATATCACTTCATATCTTAAAGCAGAGAAAACTTTAATATTAAACTTAAAAATTCATACTTAAAAATGTCAATGAAAGGGTTTACAAAAGGAGAATCACAGTTTAAAATTTGATGAGCAAGAAAAACGTAAGCATTTAAATATTGATAGTAATAACTTACGTCAGTACTGATCGCCTAGCAACAAACTCTTTATCTGGAAGTTCTCCTCTCTCTTTCTTTTTCCTTCAAAAGGTTAAATAATAATCATTTCACTCAGTTTTCTATATATAATTATAATTATGGTGATAAAGAGTGGGATGGAAAAATCTTTGTAAAGATTAAATTTAGATCTATGTACTATAATTTCATTATAATATATTCACATATTGCGACGTAACTTTCATTCGCATTACATTTAAGTGTGATACATATTTACTATTTTACAAAATCATAACCATATGTCCTTGGTCAATCTAAATCTACATGCTTGAACCGGAGCAACAAACATGTTATATATCACATGTATTTTTTTTTTGGTTTAGTTGAAAATAGCAATACTACTATTTATCTATATATAAGAAAAGCTCAGTAAATATAACATTTTACTTAATAGTAAGAATATATATATGTATAAACCCTATCTGTAAAATATAATTCTAAGCTTGTAAAGCAGAAGTATGAGAAGAAATCAAAGATGGCAGTATCAATCCCAACTAATTAAAACTGACTTGTCAGATAATCGAAGCTTACAATTCTTAAAGCTCAAAGTAAGTAAAAAAACAAATTTAGGATCTAACAGTTTCTGTAAAAATAATATGACAATCCTTCAAATGCAATGGAAACATATGTATATGTCAATAAACCCTTGTAGTCTATTTCTTAAATTATGCATACATAATCACCAACCAATTTTGAGGCAATAAGATGTTCATCTTCCCCCAATCATTTTACAGTAAAATTTTATACATGTATTTAAATGTTAAATGTAAAAATACAGATGTTTCATGGCAGAGAAAATTTTAATAAAAGAATCACAGAGAAAAGAAAAGAAATTAAATTTGTACTACTTTGTTGTTGTATTTAATGATACATGAACATGTAACAGTATGTAATTAATAATTCATAACAAACAGATAGAACAGTTAAAAAGATGAATAATTAAGTAACTAAGGCCCTTAAGTGGCCAAAAAATAACTTATGATAGAAAGCAACACACTAAAATAGCCAGACTGTATAATTTTGACCTTTATAAATCATTCACAAGAAACAAAAACTCTTTCACAAGTATGACTTCTAAATTTCAAACTCTAATAATTGATTGGTTGAATCAGATTTGAAAATGACCAATATGAAATGATTATCTGAATCACAGCATTCTGAACTCCTATTTATTACATTCAGTCACTATTACTGGCTAATGCATTAAAAGTTTTTAAAAATAGAATCAGAAATATTATTTCTTGAGAAAACAGCATTTCAATTTAATTTGTTAGTAAAAGCTGTGAAAATAGAAACAAAAGTTTAGCAGCAGTGTGTAAATCTCTACATACTGTTCATTGTTATATTTAACATCTTCAGGCCTAAAAAATATAAAATACTCTTCAATTACATAATTATGAACTTATAATCTTTAGCTAAATATCAAAGCAAGAAATACATGGTATGAGAAAAGACTTCTGAAAGTCAATTTAAATTTAAAATATAGTCTATATTAAGTCATATCATAATATGGCAATTCATAATCCAACTTCACTATAATATTGGATCAGGAGCCCTTCATCAAAATAACAAAAACTCGGTAGAACCAATGATCTTCAAAAAAGACCCAACAGTGAGGGTTAAATTGAAAGTCAGTGCCTTTTTCTTACTTCATCTTTTGTTTTTATTTTGCTGGTCAATCTATCTAACCACATTTCCTGTATAACTAACCAGTAATTATCATTTTTCTGCAAATGACTGACTTAGTGACTACTAATCCAATTTGATTTCTGAATCAGCAGTGGGAGAAAAATGTCCATTAGACTCGGTTTCTTCTGGTTACCGGTATGATTAGTGAGAGTAATGCTTTGTTCTAATACAATGCTCTCACTTTGAGGTAGGTGGGTGCAACAAATTGGCCAAAGGTGCCTTATTTAAACATAGCTTAACTACTTGATAACTTAAAACAAAATCATTATCACCATCAATAACAAACTTTTTAACTTCCCCATCACCCCTTTCATAAACCAGAACAAAATTCATGCATTACTTCTGAAACAAAATTAGTACCAAAAAAGAAAATGTTTAGTACAAACAAACTTAAGAACCATAAAGTAGTCCCCATATACATACACATATTCATGACATTCTTTATACGCATTACAGCAGCTAAATTTAGAAGCAAATTTTTTTATATACAATGATACATACACAAGATTCCAACATCACCATAGTTACTGTAAAATGTGTGATTTTTAAAACTTTTTAAATAGTAATATGCCAGCTAAAATATGCAATGTAACATTTCTGCTATCATACTATGAATAACATTAATCATGCATAATTATGCTCTTCACTATTCTTTATTAACCCTTTCACTGCCATAGGGACGGCTTATGCCGTCCCTGTTATTTTCGGGGTATTTGCCATATGGAAGGCTTTAGCCGTTTCTATAATAATAATAGTAATAATAATAAATTAATAATAATAATAATAAAAATAATAATAAATATAAAGAAAATTATACCATCGACAATAATTATTATACTCACAGATTTGGAAACATATATGATTATTATTATACTAATAACAAATAATAATAATTATATTTATTAATAATATAATAGTAATTTCTTAGAAAACTCTCTGGCAAGTAGGTGATCAATAAAGCAATAACCCTCTGGCAGCGAAAGGGTTAATATCATATGCTATTACTGGTTTATACATAATATAAAAATTTGCCTTTGCTATACAGAACAACAAGCATACAAACAATGTATCAGTGCAATGTGACCTCACTTTTTAGCCTGTTAGTTGCTCAATTTTGATACCATTTTGATATAAATTTTACTATGTTGATATCAATTTTATCATTTTGAAATTGAAATCCCTTCTAACATAAGTCAATGGATATTTTCAAAGTCAAAGCAGGCCAATTACACAATTATAGTGGAAGGGTTAAAGTGAGAAAGATCACATATGCACATCTGCATAAGACACAAAGTTGGAACTTGATAAAAACTGCATAGCTGCCTTCTAAACATGAAAGATCATATACATGGTAATTCAAAACAAGATTGTCTTCCCATTTTGGAAATCAAACGGGATTATCTTTCTCTTTTGGGAATAAAACAAGATTATCTTCTCCTTCTGGGAATCAAGCAAGATTATCTTCCCTCTTATGGGGTCAAACAAGATTAACTTCCACTTTAGTGAATCAAACAAAATTAATGTTCCAATTTTGGGAATCAAACAATACTACTTGCCCATGCGACCACGTGTATTAAACGACTTTTGTCTTAAACGACCACTTTAAATTCCCCCCGATCATTTTCTCTCTATATCTTTAATGTATTAAGTGACTTTTGCTCAACGCGACCAGCGACCGCTAATTAGTCAACTAATTAAAATAAAGCTTTTCATTAAACGACCACTTAAATTTTACCTGTCAAGTAATTGTGTTTTTAGAGAACGCCACCTTGTAATGTCACAAGTGTCAACAATCAAAACACAACAACTAAACGTGTGAAAAACTCTATTTCCCAAACCGTTTTAGCGTATGCAAATGAAGTTAAGTATACGCATGACGTGTATTATTCAATAATATCGGATAAACAATGCAACGCTCCGCCCCTACTGAGATGGTGTATAGGCTTCGCTTGTTGACATTTAGACTGCATTGAATTGACCTTGAACTTGATCACCAATTAAATTTATCTTAACAATTAGATGTAGTTTGTTTATTTCAAATGAAAAATGCACAACAGAAAACATCTTCACTAAAAGGGTTTTCGTGTTGGAGACAAGGAAAAACAACGGAGAAGTTAACAAATTCTGGAAAAAATGTCAAACATGTACATAATGGATCAAAACTGTTTTGCACCCCGTTTTGTCAATAAATATCAGAAAGTTATTTTTTACATTTGCATCCATTTAAATTATCGGAGCATACTAATTATTCAACATTTATATAAAAATGAAGTTGAAAAACATTCCTACCGCATAAGAAAGATGTCATTTATAAATTTTGACTTTTATATCATGCTGATTGTCTTAAGAGACCGTTTCATTAAGCGATCGTTTTGGGTGTTTCCCTTGCGCGGTCGCTAATACACGTTTGACTGTACATGTATTAGCTTCCCCTTTTTGGAATCAAACCAGATTACTTCCACTTTTGGGAATTAAACTTTGGGCATTTGCTGTACTGAAGTTAATGGCCGTAAATGTCCCATAATAAATATGTACATAACAGTAACTCACAAATAATACACAATGAAATTGCTGTAGACTATTCATTATTTTTACTACTGAACAAATTATATACATTTGTACTTTGTATATAAATGTATATGTATGTTTAACATTTACATAACAATCATACACTATACCATGCAAACAACCTTATAATATACATAATATTACCCCTATTTCCATTTAATTTTTGAAAAAATCTTTTCGATAAGAATACGTGGTTTCTGTCATTTTAGATCATAGGAAATAATTTACCCTGACAAAACCAAAGCATTAAATTTGAAACATGGAAGGATATTCTGAAGAAATATAACATTTGGAATCACATAATTTATGCAAAAGCAACTTATGAACACACAGAATAACAATAGCTTTCAGACAGACACATTTTTAACATCATCAGTCCCATCAAACAGCCCTTTAGTCTATATTTAAATGACAATGATACAAAACAATAACTATTAAGTGTCTGAACATTCGCCATTGATAAGATATACTTCTTCGTTCATTAAACCAGGAAAAAATATAAAATTTTCATCCTTCAAGTACATGTTGAATGTTTGATATTTACATGTACTTTGATAAACTATATAAAACAATACAAGTCTAGCATTCAATCAACCCCAGTAATTGTCCACAATCTCATTTAAGTGTACTTAAATCTCATTTTATTTGTAAGGCATTTCATTGAAAATATTCCTCGATGATAAACATAAATGATTCATTTCGTTTCATCGAAAAACGTCATAATTATTTCTCATTATTAAACAATTGTTCTTCATATAACTTCTGTAAAATCAATTATTCTTGCAAGTGCAAAACTTCCAGAAATCAACATTTTAATTTTCAGGCTAACTGACGAGCTTATTATTCAATTTATTAGCAAATATCTACATTTAGCTCTTCTCAATTTCTATGGTGCTTTGGATATCTCTTTTTTTTCTGCTAGAATCTTCAATTTACAAAAATAACAAAATTTAAGTCCTCACAAAAGTTTTTAATTTTACAGTTCATGATTGTAAAAACTATCATTATAATCAAGTAGCAATATCCTCTTATCAAAGTGCACTGACTTTAAACATACTACATACAGTATTCATTCAGTAAGTCACATTACCCAGATTATGAATTACAAAGAGATATTCGAACAATGATATAGAGGTTGGTTAAAAAAAATACTGTAATCGTGAAATTTATATAGTTACATAATTATATGTTCTCATTTCCTCATACATGTATATTAAATATTAATAAGAGAAGTGTATGAGTTTGGTTTAGATTTTAACAACCTGGTATATTTAGACATACTGAATAAAGATGTAATAAATAAGAAGAAAAAAAAGACTGTAATTAATAAAGATCTTCCCTTTTCTTTACCTCAGATATGTAATTTAGATTACTACAATGTATGCACAGGTGGCAGTATCAGTGTTTGGACACCCCACCCCTATCTGCTCCTGGACCCCTACTACAACCCTGAAAAAAAAATAATTCAACATTCTAAGGCTTACTATAAGGTACCAAATACAAAACCACGGATGAAATTATATATAAAAAAAATTTCCACTATCAAAATTATAGTTATAGTAGGCTTTTCACCTTTCTATAACTATAATTTTGATAGTGGAAATTTTTTTTTTATATAATTTCATCCGTGGTTTTGTATTTGGTACCTTATAGTAAGCCTTAGAATGTTGAATTATTTTTTCAGGGTTGTAGTAGGGGTCCAGGGGCAGATAGGGGTGGGGTGTCCCAACACTGATACTGCCACCTGTGAATGTATGTACACTGTTGTGTACCATACACTGTTTTATTTTAATTCAAAAATATTTATATATGTCCAATTTATAAGTAAACTTTCCAATTAAAGTGAGTGCTACCAATTCTGTTCTTTTAATTGGGAATATGGTTGTGACCATATAAGAGCTCAGATGAATGAATGTACAGACTTAGCAGACATCTCAAACACTGTGTGTAGAGCTATAGGTGTACCATGTCTGCCTCTGATCTCAGAGATTGTGTGTATGATCCCTACTTGGGTAACAACAACGTTTGTCATATGAAATCAGGTAAAATGTACTTGTTTTGGGAAGTGGACTTGTGTTGCCAAATAAGCTACAAGCTTTCTTTTCAAGTATAAATAAATAAGGTTTAAACTAATATTCCCCTTTTCAAAATGTACGTAAAATGCCATTCAAACCATAATTCCAATATTTCTGTAAATTCAAATGTCAAACCATGCTACATACTACTGACAATATCACATAGATCATATAAAAAAACAAATGTACATGAAAATGACATTAACCAATAAAAAAAACAACAACATAATAACAGGCAAATGACAAAATAAGTAAATGTTAAAATACTATACTCTTGACAAAAGAACACATTTTTTACTATAGTTACCTCCCTTTTTGGACTCTAAAAGAGATAAAGTTTATCATAAACCTTCCTTTTTAGAATCTTTATATAACTTTAAGAAAGAGAAATATATAAAGAAAAGATATTGAGAATACATACGTATTTCTATTTGTTGAGAAAGACAAGTTAATATTTTCATCATGAACAGATTGATTTATGAGTTCAATGTCCGACAGGAATGAATCAAACGAATCTTCAATGTTTCGCTTTATCTTCTCCGATATTTCCTCTCGAAATTTCTGAAAATAAAAGAAAGATGTATATAGTGTGTGTCAAAGCATCTTCCTTAAAAAAAATCTTATGATAATAAAGATGATGGTAAGTTGACTTCACATGTAACAATCAGAGTTGTCATTAATTTTTTTTCCGAGATGATTAAGTATTTTGAAATTGAGACAATCACTTCTGCTTAAACCAGCCATACAACAAACAGTGTTTTGTAAGTTTAAAGGCAGCCAAAAATGCATTTGTGACTGTCATTTTAGTCTATGAACATAAGACTATGACAGTTAAATAACGTAACATAAGTAGAAGACTCAAAATAAATGCAAGAATCGTTCCGTTAATTAAATCCACATTTTTGCCTCGATGCATGTGTAATTCCTAAACAAAACAAAAAATTACCCACTCACTAAAAATAGGTTAATTAGACATCTCGAACAGGTTTTTGAATGATCCACTTTAAATGATTCTGCTCACCTTTTATCTTTATCAGTGCGGAACTAATCAAAGAAAATCAAAGGTTGAGCCGAATTCATACATGTAAATTTACAGGGTAGTTTTGATGACGTAGCGTGTAATACCTAAAGAGGTCAATTGACTGACACACGACACGTGATAAGTTAAACATGTGAGAATAACTTTGGGTATTGGAACTGTTTATTACGTCACCTTGCTGTCAATTAGCGACTCAACATTTAATCCGCTATAATTTAGGATATGGACAGATAACAATCAATGCCCGGAGGCACGGTTTACATTTTAGATACAGGTGCTGTGTTTGATTTTTTTTATGTTGATTTTTTTTTAAATATCGGGAATTCAAGCTGTAATAACGGGAATCGGGATCAGTGTTGAAATATCGGGATTTTTTTAAATCCCGCCGGGATGTCACATGTATGCATGGCCACCTCCTTTAAGTTCTTATGACCATTCTGAGCAGTGACCCGTGACAAAGCAGCTTCTCTGAAAGATCATACTACAGAGCCAACAGGATGTTTTTTGTAAAATTATCTACACATAGCTTATGATAGATGGCAACCTTTACTTGCTGAATTTGAGTTATGAACTCACCTAACTTTAACATTTGAAAGTTAAATGGATTTCAATATCAAAATTTTAGATTCCAACAATATAAAACTTCGTTAGACGTAACACAGAATTGTGCATGTTGGCTTATAGTCCCCTACACTCAAGTGGCAATGGCTAATAAATTATAGTTCAAGCCAGTTAAATATATCAAAAACTTGTAATTTCCATACATGTGACAATAAGCCATGAAACCTTTTTCCTTTCTTTCTATCATCAATTCATGACATGAAGAGGTCAAGCATCTTTTTGGTCACTGACATAGATTACGGACAGACCAGACGTATGTACGTATGTTTACATAAGATCAAGATATTATAATCTCACCATTGAACTTCCTGTCTAGTCATCATTAACATAAAACAGATAAATCATAATACTATAAACCCTTACTACACTAAATATCTTAAATGGACTTTCAGTCTGAACAAAACCATTCATAATAATACATACAATTTCAAAATATATACTGTCTGAATAGCAAACACTGTGCAGACCATGAACTGTCAGCCGCGCCAACTTATGATGGGCGGCACTGGTCATATGGGTAGACTCAAGCAAAGGGTTAACATGATTTTGTATGTATGATTTATAGCACAATGATAATAGTAAGCAATACCCTTATTCTAAATCAAATGTCTCTTGCTTTGGGAGTCGGAGATATTTCAGTTGCAAAAAGATCAAAAAGGTTGAAAACCCTCAAGAAGTGAGAAATTGTACAGTCTTGTCACAAAAATGACTTGTCACAAAGGGCTATGAGGCCCGATTGCACTGACTAACAGTGCAATCGGGCCTCATAGCCCTTTGTGACAAGTCATTTTTGAAGCAAGCATGCAATTTGGATTAAATCAACAATGAACCTAGTTCTTTGTAAGGTCTCTAATGTTCTATATTTCATGACAATATGAATCCTAAAATACCCTGTTAGATATCAGGAAGGAAATATGAAGTATTTTAACAAAAATACTTAATTGTTTTTACATTTACAATTCACAGGATTCAGACCTACAATGACCACTAACATTACAATTTATTCTCGAAACTCACTATTAATCATAATAAGAGGGTTAATCTTTTATATTATATCAGTTAATTTTTTTATTATGTTTGTTATTTTAATGGTCTATAGGATTCCCTTATTTCAGTTTGAAATTTATAAATATCTAATGAAAAATCCTAATTTTATTCTGTTCTTCCCATTGAATTTCACAGAAAGTCCATGGGAAAAATTATTCACTGGTTGTAAAGGTAAATAATTTGAAGCTGAGATGATTTCAGTATCAAAGCTGCCAATAGTATCGAGTCCATTCAGACTGCCCAGATGTTCAGACTTGACTGGCTTTAAATATACTGGTGACAAAGACTAATCACTTTTGGTTCCAGCAGGGTAAGAGCTACGGGACAACTTATTCTCTTGAACTGAATTCTCTTGAACAAAATGATTCTTCTATATTTGCAAAAACTGAAAACCTTCTCCTGCTTAACTATCATTTTCCATGTAGTATTTAGGTTAAAGGATCTAAAGCTATAACTAGCAAAATAAACTTTATAAATTTTGTGGAAAGTGCAATCCAAGCTTTTTCTGGCCCATTTAAATGACTGATATTGGGTCATGTTCCTAATGCCAAAAATGATGTTTTTTCCCCTAATTTCAAGGAGAAAATTCCAGGAACAAACGATAAAATTAGTAAAAATATTGTAATTTTTGTTACATTTAACTGCATAATGTGCCATAGAAAATTGTAATTGTGGTGAGTTGCATTCAAAATTGTAATATGTACTTATGAGTTAAATATTAAAGGAGTTTAATTAATCAAATATTTAATTTCTCCGTCCTATATTATATATACAATATCAAGGCAGTTTCTCCCAATTTGTCTAAAACATTGTAAGTATTGGGAGGTCGGGACATGTTCCCGAAGTGGAGAGAAAAAAATCCTGCATTGAATCACAAAGTTACCATAATTTTAAGGCCATATCATAAAATGGAGAAAGTTTTAGCAAAAGAGTTACTTTATTATACATTGTGCATTACTTGTATATTAAGTGCTGAATAAAAAGTCTTACAATATCCTTTTTTGTACACCAAAAAATATCACCAGTTTGCTTGTCTGTCATTTACTGACCATAATATACGTGAAAATAATATCAGCACTATATGAAACTGAGAAATGCAAATTAAATGTCACAAACAGCTGCTAATTCTTCCAAATGAAAACTCTCTGGAGTTTAACATAGAGTTTGATCAATACATATACAGTAGCATTGTAATATAATCTGTTGTAAAATATCATCACATCCTATGACTTATTTGTTAAATATAAAACCCCATAAATTATGACAACATGTCACAACAAGATAATAATTGTCCCTAAAAAAAGACCAAGCTATTTCAAGAATGTACCACCTGCTTTCATGAAAATTTACAAATGTCATTCTTTCAACAAAGATGCTTATATATACATGTATCATTAGATTCATGGCTTTAAGTTTACTGAACCCCCCCCCCCCCATCATTTTATTAGAAAAAAAAATACCTGTGTTTCATTTACAAGTCTTTGTACTTTAATTTGTTGATCAAAAGTGTTGTCATCCTCTCCTGCATCTGAAAAAGAAACAGTTTTTCATTTTATACAGATGCCATACACTGTAGTACAAGAATTTTATCTTACTGATGTACTGATGTACAACTTGTTTAGAATCTGCTTATTGGACTTAGACAGAATATCCGGCTTCTATTATCTTGATAATTTTGTGTCATTAAACATGTAGTACATTTAACAATGTTTCTATTATAATGAAATTCCTACAAATGATGTGTATGGTACTTATCATTATTTGTTTCCAAATTTCATAAAAATATTTTAAAACGCTCAGGGGGTGTGTAGATATTTTACTGGAGCTATGCTTATAAGTTGTCTGAAGTGGGTGGTCCGACTTTTAAGTCTGACATTTTTATATATTAAAAAAAAAATTGTCCCTTAGTTGAGGGGTTTGACATTATTCAATTTTATTGGGAGATGCTAACTACTGAAATGCTGGAATACACAATTGTAAACCTGAACAAGGGTAAATCTAATGCCCGCCACTAAAGTGGGGGCACAAAAATCTAAAGGCACAAAACAGGAGCTGAACCTGGACCTCTCAATTAATTATTAAGTGGCAGAAACTCAGAAATCTGGCTAATAACATACTATTATAGGGTTAACAAACAGCAAGGCTGTTGGAAATAGACTTAACCTTTTATCACTACATTTGTATCTATTGTGTCATTGTGAATACTGTGAAGAAATACACAAAATAAACATTTGTCAATTTTACAACTATATGTAGAACTTAAGATGGTGCATTTCAACAAATTACTTAATTTTTACTATTCTAAACATGATGCTTTATGAATCCAGCTATTTAAGGGCATATAAATATCTATCCAAATTATATCAAGTTTAACTAAGACTTATTATTATTGTCAAAAAATAGCTTATTAGTAGCTAACCTTTTTTTAAAATGTGTAAACCTATTTAAAATAAAGGTTCTTGTATCATTTATCAGCTAGTTCAAAAGTTTTGCCATTTGTTACAGCCTATTAAAATTTTATAGAGAAGCAATGACCATGTTATTAACTAAGTACAATGTCCAAACAAATACAATGTATATATAATATATATATATATGATTCATTGACAAGTTGCAATACACTTACTCATTACTTAAAAGGCCTCATTATAGCATTGTTATGGCAAGGGAAATTATTAAATATTGACAATAATTTCATTAGGGGAAGTCCGGCTATAGACTACATGTGTATAATATTTAAAAGGAAATCAAATTTAAAAAAAAAAAAAAATTAAAATATATATAAAGTTCTATCAGTGAAATTTTCCGTGTCATTTCTACTTTTCTAGATGGGTGCCACCATTTTTAATGTAAATCAAATTGATTCAATGATAATGAAACTTTTCGGCTTAAGAAAATCTTCATGCTGTTCCGATTATAAACAGAAGCAGTGCATGTAATATCAAATGACCCTATTAAACAAAATTTGTGGGATAAAAAATGAATGAAATGTTTTTATCTGATTTTCCCATTCATAGGCTTTGCCTACTTTCATATCAAATTCTATATTTTAAGTGATGAATTTATTCATTAATTCAGTCTATGTTGAGATTATTAATAATAATGTTTAAACTAGGGCTACTAGATTAGCAATTCTTATGTTAGCATCCAATTGACAGCCGATAAATCCATCAACACAGCTTTAATTCAAATAGTTATATGCTATTATTATAAAAAATTACATATTAAATACATTTTCATGATGAGTCAATCAAAACACAGGAACTTGAAATTCTATCAAATAACCAATATTAACCATAATATCCAAAAAATATCCCCTATTAGTATATAGTATAAACATCACGAGATGAAGTTTGCAACAAACTTAGATCACGAGAAATAAGCAGAAAATGTTTACTCCTACAAAAGTATGTGATTTAAAAAAGTTATCAGTGGTATTAGATGCATTTATGTATTGTTTATTGAAATGGCCCAATAGGTTATTTTGATCAGTTTTTTGTTCATTTTTTAGAGTTAAATTACATTGACAGTCTCTATATGAACTACGTAAATAACCGAGGTATATCGATTGAAAAAATAGAGTTGTTTCCCTTAGCTTCGAGTAAAATCGATATCTCTAATGCTAAACAATGCAAATTTATTGTCCGATTTTAAAATATATTACACCAATGAAAAGCTTGTAATCTTAGCTTCGTCTCAGTATATATTTCAACACATTGTTTGACACTGAAGTTAAATTTACGGTTAAACCTACCACAAGTCAAGACCATTTTACATACGTTTTATACAGCGAGATATGCATTTGGTTATCTTTACTTGCAATTCTACTGATAAGAAAAGCCTGTCGTCTGCTAGTTCGGAAACTGTCAATCCGTGTATTTATTTACATTGGGGTATTTTCGTTAATATTGGTTATTTGATAGACTTTCAAGTTCCTGTGATCAAAGTCATAAAGAAAGACTATTTTAACACTAATGGTCCGTCAAAATCTTTCACCAATTGGTCTATATTTCTCTTTAAGTACATTCTTTACTACTAACCAAGAAAACCTTTCATACAGAATAGCAAGACGTAATAGTATTGTCTGGGTGCTTGGGGACTTCAATATGCCAAGCATCGACTGGTCAACAGAATCCCTGACAGAAGGTTGTAAGTTCCCAAACATATACACTTATTTCCTTGAAAATCTCATTAACTTGAACCTACAGCAAATGGTCAACATCCCTACCAGAGGTAACAACGTCCTTGACCTGTTCCTCACAAACATGCCTTCCCACGTACATAGTACAAAAACCCTACCTCCCTTAGGCTCCTCAGATCATGACATAGTCTTTCATGAAATCAAAATTAACAGAGGGCGTCCACTTCAATCAAAGAGGGAAATCCAATGTTATAATAAGGCAAACTGGAATTGTTTAAAAAATGACGTAAGTAAATATGCCAAGGTCTATAGTGAAACACACCACACTGATCCCAACAAAGCCTGGATTTCCTTCAAGGACGAACTAAACCACCTTTGTTCTATTCACATACCAACTAAAGTCACTAAAACACCTCGATCGCGATCTACCGTGGTTAAACAAGTTCATTACTCTCAAAATTAGGAAACGTGATAGAACTTATTCAGAAATAAAAGGGTCAAAGTCCTCATCAAATTATTTAGTCAAAAGTTCAAAATACTTTATTTAGTGAAAAAAAAAGAGAAACTAGGAAAGCATAATGGCAATGCTTAGACTCAGACATTTTCAGCCAAAATGTGAAAAATAAAAAATCTACCAATATAATTATTAAAATTAACAAAACTGAAAGCTGTGGTGTGATACCCCTAAAATCAAAAGGTAAAACATTTACTGATTCATTTGCAAGAGCAAATATCCTTAATTTCCAGTTTGAGTCTGTTTTCTCTTGGCCTCAGCCCCTAAGCTTATTACAGGCGTGCAGACAGGAGCTTATTCCAAAACACCACCCATCTATGCCAAAAGTATCTGTATCGGAAGATGGTGTGAAGAAACTTTATAAAAGACCTAAACCCAAATAAAGCTTCTGGTCCTGACCAAATATCCCCTAGGTTACTAAAAGAGCTCCATCAAGAGGTAACTCCCATACTGACCCACATCTTCCAGATCTCACTTAAAACAGGTATTGTCCCAGAAGACTGGAAGCATGCAATAATTGCCCCAGTTTACAAAAAAGGCCCAAAATGCAAACCCAGCAATTATAGACCAATCTCCCTCACATGCATAGCGTCCAAATTGATGGAGCACATCTTAGTGTCCAATATTATGTCCTTTTATGATAAACACAACATCCTTAGCCCCTATCAACATGGCTTCAGGTCAAAACGGAGTTGTGAGTCCCAGCTAGTAAGCTTCTCCCAGGAAATTCATGACAATCTTGAAAGTGGCCAACAAACTGATGTCATAGTCATGGATTTCAGTAAGGCATTTGATAAGGTGGACCATCACAAACTTGTGAATAAACTAGAAAGATTGGGTATAAGTTATGAGGTTACAAATTGGGTCCATTCCTTCCTTAAGTCACGCTCCCAGCAAGTTGTAGTTGAAGGTCAAAAATCAGGAATTCTACCAGTTCTCTCAGGTGTACCCCAAGGCTCGGTATTAGGTCCCTGTCTTTTCCTTTCTTACATTAATGACCTCCCAGATAGTGTCAAAGGTAAGGTTAGACTCTTTGCAGATGATACTGTTGTCTACCTAACCATCAGATCCAAACAAGATGCCCAAACCCTCCAAGATGACCTTCATGCTTTAGAAAAATGGGAAAAAGACTGGTCCATGGAATTCAACCCTGACAAATGTGAAGTTCTCAGGATAACATAAAAAGGAACCCTGTAATATTTCCTTATACCCTCCATAACATCCAACTTAACTCAACTCAAGAAGCGAAATACCTAGGAGTCACTATTAGTCAAGACCTTTCATGGACCAAACATATAAACAACATCACATCTAAAGCTAATAACTCCCTCAGATTCATTAGAAGAAATGTTAAAACTCCAAATAAAAAGATAAAAGAAACTGCATATAAGACCTATGTTAGACCTCAAGTTGAATATTGCTCCATAGTTTGGCATCCTTGGCAGAAATACTTAATTTATAAGATAGAGCAAGTACAAAGATCAGCTGCTAGATACATTTTTAATGATTATGACTATACAAGTAGTGTCTCAAAAATGATAAATGATCTTAATTGGCAAACCCTTGAACAGCGTCGAAACATCAGTGCTGTAACCTACTTGTATAAAATCCAAAACAACATTGTTTTTGTTGACCACCAACACCTTACTCAAACAAGAAATCTGAACTACCTGATACCCTACTCGAGGACACAATATCATCAAAATTCTTTCTTTCCTAGGAGCATACGTCTTTGGAATAGCCTTCCCCTAACAGTTCAGTCTAGCCCCAGTTTAAACATCTTTACTGAGAGGCTTGACCCATTCTATAAATTCTTAACTGCACACTATGTTTTTAAATTAATAGTCTTGTAGAACTTTTATTCTTTTAACTTTTTAATTTGCACATAAATAAATTCTTTTATTAACAGTTCCCTGACAACGCGCCTGCTAGTCATAATCATAATTGATTGTTAAGCAGTATGATGTAGATGTAGATGTAATACTGCCACTTGTTTATCTCAATTGTCCCAAGCATAAATTGTAAAATCAAATACACTCCTTCATGTGAATACAAATATCAACTTTATGTCTTTTGTTTACTTATCTATGTATATTAGATTTAAAGTATGGCCTCTTGCATTAATTAAGTAGATCTCTGTGTGTGTTCAAGTCCGCGATGTAGATCTATAATGATAGGAGTGTCGTCGTTTTTATGCTGTAATTGAGCCATGTTGTAAAAACATTGTCACATGTTTGTTCTAGTTTTTAACTTAAATTTAGTCTTCTCTTTCTAATATTTTCAATTAAAGGAACTTTTGAAGATTTAGAAACTTATTTATATCTAAAATGAACTAAATTACACAAGATCCGGTATAACCGCATCCATATTGTTGCATTTCAATACATAATTTGTTGTTCAGCTGTTGTTTACTCATCACAACACCAGGTCAATAATTATGTTAAACAGCAAAATAAAATAACTTCATATATGACATAAAAGTTAAATCACCATATCTAAACAAAAAGTAATTGATGAAAACATACCTTGTGCGTGATTTCGTACAACATCTCCATTTTCTCCTCGTCTTTCCATCTTTTCCTTTCCAGGAAATTGTTCTGATGCTTTAATTTTTACACGTTGTGAATTCACTGACTACACCGGTCAATCAGCAATCGTAACTTATCGGCTCTTTCCGTTAGACCGCTCCGTTCCTTTCCGTCATATATCGGAAGGTAATCAAATCAAAGCACTGAAAGCACTGAGGTATACACTGCTTGATAATATAATCCATTTTTTCATTTATACATTGCTAAATGCACTCTCAGCATTATCCTTTAGTATGTATATCGTTTTTCCTGTCGACCAGAATGTTCACCATACAGTACTATACATTGTGTAGTCTTATATTTCCCTATATACCCATCGTACATCCATCGTTCTTACAGTATCACATAAGTTATCTATAGGTTCCTCACTTTTTATTTAATCAAAGGGCTGCAAGCTCTGTGGTATTTTCTGATCTTTGCAATCTAAATCGTACTGTATATCTGTATGTATTTTCCTGTATAAGTTTATTTTTATGAACTATAATTCATCTTGCAAGGCACCAGAGTTTGATACATACGGAATTTTGCATAACTACAGTAGAGTTGCATCAAAAAATCATTTATGTTCATTTTTTATGACAGCCACACTTTATCCTTGCATATCATGGCTACTTCCTTAACAAAGACACTTAAAAAAGAATTTTAAAAAAAGTTGCCTCGACTGGGATTTGAACTCCAGACCTCTCACAAACTAGACGAGCGCGTTACCCCTGCACCACGGAGAAGTTATATAAACGATGTCTGAATAAAATCTAGTCATTCTTAATTTAGAACTTCCATTGCATTCCGGGTTTGTAATCCTTACTAATTTCGAGGTATTTTGTTCAGGATAAACCTGTTGTTTAAAATTGAAGTAAATAATTTAGCGAAATCTTCTCGCCGAAACAGTCCGACATGTAGAATCTATATATTCCACTACTCGGCAGTCAGATTTATTTGTGTAGTATTCGGTAATCGACATCGCTAAAAATAGCATTTTCATTGATAAAAATTAAATTCATCCGCGTAATTTGTGATTGTGCATTATTGACAATTCTATAAGACAACGCTACTTTTAAACTTTGAATGCGTTGTAATTTGTTGGATACTTGTAACAAAATAAAACTATTTCTTTCTTTTAAATCGCTAGTTTTAAGCTGTTTTGAGAACTAATTGTTGTTAGGTTTGTCGTGAAATTTTGTGTCAGAGATTGAATGCCAGCTTTGTATTTACTGACCTTCGGTCAGAAAATACAAAAAAGCAAACCTACCGGTATGTACATGTAGCAAAATTAAGTAGTTGGAGCTAGTGCCAAATTGATACTAAGGTCAGACATGATTTGAAAAACTAAATAATTGTTCATAAAACTTTAGTAGTGACATTGTAGCTAAACAATGTACACATCAATGGTTACATTATTGCCCTAAAGTATGTGAAATTCTTTGACCAGGAATAACATTGTGGTATGTGAGTTCTAAAAGGGCTATCATTCAGTCAAATCCATACTAGAGTGATGGGTCTTCTGTATAATTATATCTCAATCAAAAATTGTTTCAAGCAGGGTCTTTCAAACATAAATTTGAAAGACCCTGTTTCAAGTGAATATTTCAGTAGTTCTGTAGATTTTGTTGCATGCAAAACATAATTTTAAACAGGAATTTATTATTCAAATTGAATTGATTTGAGTCAAAGTCATGTTATACAAAAGTTCATATGTATCTAGGTTTTGAATATTGAACCATTATAATGATAAAGGACATTTTTGAAGTTTTAAACTAATCTGCAGTAGTTCATAAACTATAAACAGATCAATACATAAATTAATATAAACAGATTAAAATAATTCATTTTCCTATTTTCTGAACATAAATTTAATGTATTTATTTCTTAATGCTTACACTGATTTACAGTTGGTTACAAATGATTATTTTTTATCGTCGACTCTGGCCACAGATACCTATATTTAGCTCCATGCTCTGGCTTAATCGACAATATCCTCAAGTTCGAGAATTGTTATGGGTCGAATGGTCGAGTGACCGAATCTTTATTTTTACTCGTTACTGAATCAGGCAATAAACGCTGAATTTGAAACATATTTCTTTTCAAAAATCTAAGGCATACAAAAGTGAAAGGAAAATCATGTGTAAAAAGGTATTCAAAAGAATAGCTTACGAAATTTCTATTTTTCGAAGCCACGATAATTGCCAGGCTTATTAAGATGCCAGCACTATTAAGTGTTGAGAATTGAGTACCGCTCAAGCCGGTGCTAGGGGGCGTGAGGGATGTTGAACGCATTCATTATCCCTCAGGTACAGACTCAATCAAACCGAGTCTGCAATTCTCTTGTAATTTTGTTGTGATTAATGCTTCCGAGGGATCACTTTGTTTCCAGATATTTATACTTCACAACAGCAGGTGTCAAGTGCTGTGTGGCAGCTGTAAAAAGTTGCCCCGTACTTCACTTCAGTGTTGTTATATTTTTCTGGTCCTCCGGGACAGGGTCTTTCAATTTCTATTTGAAAGACCCTGTTCGGGATCATTGATGCCAGCACTATTAAGTGTTGAGAATTGAGTACCGCTCAAGCCGGTGCTAGGGGGCGTGAGGGATGTTGCACGTATTCATTATCCCTCATGTACAGACTAAACCAAACCGAGTCTGCAATTCTTTTGTAATTTTGTTGTGATTAATGCTTCCGGGGGATCACTTTGTTTCCAGATTTAAATAATAAAAAAATAAAAAAAAAACATTTTCGGTTACGGTTACGGAGCTCCATACTCATTTTGTATAACATTTTAGGACAATTTTATTGCATAAATGTAAATCAGAAATTTTATTTGATGAAATATCTATCTTAGATGTTTCGTCCCATTTATATAATTCTGTCGACTTTACTATATTTACGATGCATTCATTCATGCTTGCAAGCGCATGCGTATATGCGAAGTTTAACGCGTAGGTATATACTACGATCAATGATCTGTCATTTTTGTTTTCTTTAAAGGAATGTAGACTCTATTTTTTCATGAAAATGAACTATTTGGAACTTTCAAAGCAGTAAAACAACTTTGCATACAATATTTTAATGATGTGTAGTCGGAATGTAACAATACTGCAGAATGAAGAACTAGTTTCTATAGCGGTTTTATCCGGATGTGGATGTTGTTCGGTAGAGGCTAAACCTGCAACGCCTGTGGAGATTTAGCTTATAACTCTATATACATTGCAAGCAATGTATACAAAAGTATAATGTCCAAACAAATACAATTAGAAAAAATGACAACACTTAAATTAAATTAATTACCATGTTCTTGACTTATTCAATCTAGGAAATCCTATCGCCATAAAATTTCTGTATTTAAATGTTTCGCACTTGTTGCAGTAATTTTATATTTTATTATTCATAAAAACCAGTGTCTTTCAAATAGAATATTGACAGACCCTGTAAAAACTGACAAATGCGGACAATCTTAATATATTTAGGTAATATCAAGACATAATTTAATATGTATCGAATGGCCGTCATATCCAACATACTCCTTATAGATATATCACTGCGGTATACCGTACCCCGGATATTGCTCGATATTATGAGGACTTTCGTCCCATTTCGCGACTTTGAACGAGGAAAGAAGGTATGTTTAGTGACGATATTTAGTCATTTTGAATTGGTTTGATATAAATTTTGTAGAAAAACAAATACTACGATAATTTCTCTAGTTACTGAAACACCAAAAATGTTGAGAAATAGCTTTGAAATATAATTAGGAGGTAAAATTCGTCTCTTTGCTCACGTGATAAATGAGCTCGGATCAGTCAAATTTGATGTTTTTGTGCATATACTTCCTTAAAAGAAAAACTTGAATCGAGTGAAATGTGATAATGATGATAATGTTTATGTTGTAAATGTTCAATCAACAATAGAACCTCAGATGACAGTGCATTTTGAGAATAAATACACATGTCAGTGTACCGAGTATTGCGTTGGAGTTGCCCGCCGGTGTCACGAGTATTGCTTTTAGTGTAACGAGTATTGGTTATCAATGAAGAGTAAATGCAAGTAGTAAACACAAAGTATTTACCACATTTAATTTTAAATATTTCTTACTGTGTATACTTATTTACACTATATGTGCAGAATATGCAGAATTCGGAGGTACTTTACTGGAAACATCTGCGAATAATCCAGATTTACATTCCTGTTCGTGAAAAATCTCAGCCGAACGAACTCAGCAATTTTCTGTGTTTAAAATGTTCTCGTTGCAATCGAAGGATCAACCTTTCCAGAATTTGTTAATAATTATTGCATATCTTACTTTAAATAGTAAACAAATGCATCCAAAGTGCATTAATACTGCCTCAATATTGTCAATATTAGACGGTATTGAGCAAGTGTGCCAATATCTAATATCAACCGACTTCCTTCTATGCCAAACATCCAGATAAAGGTAACTTTCGGGCATTTTGTACCTGCACTCTAGCAACGGCAGACCGTCTGCACGTGAAATTTTGTTACGCCATTAGCAATGAGTTACCGTATGAATGCCGAGCGGGTACAGCTCAAAAACCGAATAATAGATTTTGATAAGATTATGATAAAGGGCAGCAGATGCAATAAAAAGGTTATGTTCCTTATAACCTTTAACCTCATAAAGGCGTGTTTTGAAGGCTTTACACCCCACCCCTTTTGAGGCCTCATCTAGTGTAAAACATGCGCTATTTAGGCCCCAAACACGGTTTTTTCGTTTGAGAAATGTTGTTCAAAAGTGTGATCACTTTTTCGGCGCCACCCCAATTAAAAAGATACATCAAGGGGGTTACGCAAGGGGGGGGGGGTGTGCCCCCTTCTGTTTGGGGGTTTGAAGTGGGGCAGTAGCCCCTCTAATCGCCGAGAAGACTTGGGACTTGTGGGGGGCTAAATGGCCTCAGGTCGATTTAAAGGTACCGTGTAATAAACGCCGAAAACCTAAGACTTTATCTCAATCAATTGAGAAGTTGGTGCACCTTGGAATCAGTTTTGATGGGAAAAAAAAACAACGCAAAATAGAGGTTTTTGGCAATTTTGAGACCCCCCCCCCCGTTGCCATGATAATTGGAAATTTAAAAT